CGGGGTGACGAGCCTCGGGTACTGGCAGGGCGTGGAGGGAAGCCAAGCCCTGCTCCCTTCCTGGTTCCGAGTCCTGCGCCGGTCCCCAGCGGGACCCAGCTCCGGAGAGCGGGTGCTGGCGACCACAGCCTGTGCTGAGCAGGAAGTGCGGGGCGGCCGGCCTCGCTGCGCGGAGCCGGTGGGGAGCGCAGTGGGGACCCCGAGGGGGAGGCTTCGGCGCCCACCCTTGAGGGCTTTCTCCTTAAGCCCTCTGTTTATTTCCCTGGAAGGCAAATTCCCTGCCCTCTCCCTCCTCTCCCTCTCGCTCCAGCCCTCTCTCTTTCTCTCTCTCCTCACCTTCCCACCCTCCAGGATGTGCACCGTGACACCTGTCAGCCCCTGCTCTTCCTGCCCTTTCAGTGCCCAGGCAGTTTAAATCCCTGCGGCAGGTTGGCTTTTCACTCCCGAGGGCCGGCGGAGGGCCTCGCCTCTAACAAAAGCAGTCAGCGCCTGCCCACCAGGAATTTAGGGAACCAAGAGCAGGGTGTCAAATGTCAATCCCAGGAAAACGGGCAAAAAGGTGAGACTTGATTTGCCTGTAATCCCAGCACTTGGGATGCTGAGGCAGGAGGATCGCTGCAGTCCCTACCACAGCCTCCTGAGTAGAAGGGATTACAGGCATGGGCCACTGTCTAGACTGTGATGTTTTTGCTTTGGAGGCAGGGTCTTGAAATGTAGACCAGGCTGGCTTTTAACTCACTATGATTTGTTTTGTTTGGAGGCAGGGTTTCTGCTTTGTAGTTCAGGCTGGACTTGAACTTGGACTTGCCTTGAACTCATGGCGATCCTCCTGTCTCAGTCTCCCAAGTTCTGGGATTGTAGGCATGCGCCACCATGCATGGCTTGGCCTTGACCTCACTATGTAGCTCAGGCTGCCCTCAAACTCTCAGTGATTCTCCTGCCTTAGTGTGGTTTCCAGCATCTTGCACAAGGCTGACCTACAATACCACAGCAAGTCCCAAAGTGTTCTGAAACTGTAACAAAGCATGTTATTAGCAAGGACATTTCCACTGGAGTTCTTGCCTCCTCTTCCTTTCCTTCAGAGACTAGAAGAGTAATGGAAAGGTGCTCGGGGAAAGCTCTGGATTTTTTTTTTGAGACAAGATTTCACTATCTAGCCCAGGCTGGCATCAAACTCCTATAGATCTTCCTGCCTCAGCCTCCCTAGTGTTGGAATCACAGGCATGTGCCACCACACCTGGGAAGCTCTGGATTTTAAAAAATTGTTATTTTATTTTATTTGAGGTGCGGCGCATTGAAGGCAGGGCCTTGTGCATTCTGGGCAAGTGCTACACCTTTGAGATACACCCTCAGCCCCAAGCTCTGGATTCTTAACACTGGAGGGAAGGGATACAATAGAAAAGAAACGCTGTGATGAATTATTTACACTGAAGAATGCTTTGATAATATCAGCGATATCTTCCGTTAGTCATAGCACTGTCAGGTGATTCACTTGTTTGTGTTTTGCAGTTATCTGAGAGAGACCTAACAGGAAAAGAGGCCTTCTAGACCAGAGTGAAGAATTTGAGAAAGGTGATTACAAGGCCAGGACTTGGTCCTCCCGCGGCTGCTGCCCACTGTTGGTGGACGCGGGCCCCGGCCCCGCGCTCCCAGTTTAGTGCTGTTTAACTCGCCTCACGCGTCACGCATCCGAAGAGAGCTCAGGCCTCATTGGGAGCTGAGATCTTATCCAGCCAGATCTCAGCGGAGATAGTCACCGGCTTGTTTTTCCTCGGCAGGGCCAAGTAGGGACTGGGCTACACCGGCTGGATCACTTGGGGATCAGAGTCCAGTTTCAGATTAATCTCTGTGGAGTTCATTCGCCACCGGATTGTCTTACTGGAACTGATTATCCACCGGGCCGTGTCATACATGATTTTCAAGTTTCCTGAGCTTTCAGAGAGAGAGGGAAGTAGCAACCTTGCAGGTGGTGTGACCTTCAGGGCACTCTTGCCGCCTTATCTTGCAGGAAATCCCTTCTCTTGGTAAAACTGAGGATGACAAGTGAGCCCTCCCTGTGTCTTCCCAACGAAAATAAAAGCTGCTCCTTACTGCGCTTGCGCGGGGCCTGCACCTTTTCGCTTGGCTGCCGCTCACGGTCCGTGGTTCACAGGCTGGGAAACCGAGGGCAGCTTCTGTCTTTCCAACCCGGGTTCTTAACTTAAGCATTGCACGCCTGCGAGCGCTTCCTGCCGTTTCCATTAATACCTGCTGGTTATTATTCTGTGTTCCCTTTGTACACAGAAGTTTCTTTTCATCCTAAAACAAAAAAGGAATTTAGGGCCAGGTGTGGTGGTGCATGCCTATGATCCCAGTGCTCTGCAGGCTGAGGCAGTAGGATCGTCAGGCTGGGCTACATAGTGAGTCAAAACCAAGCTGGACTGCATAGCGAGACCCTGTCTCAAAAAAAAAAAAGGAACTTGGGTAGTTTTAGAGGGGAAGGTCGAGGTGAGAAATGGAAGCGGAAGTCCAGGTTAATATTTCATTTAATTTTTTTTTCTTTTACAAATGCACTGAAGGGAATGGAATGGATGAATCTTGAAAATTAAAAGGCCTTAAATTAAAAGTTTAGGATTAAAAATTATAAATATGACCAATCAACCCAATTGGCATTTAGGCTTTATTATTTTTAAATTTAAAATTTTTTTTTTTGGTTTTTTGAGGCAGGATCTGACTCAGGGTGGCCTCAAACTCCCGGCAGTCCTCCTGCCTCAGCCCAGCGGGCTTGACTATTTGTGAACTCTTTTACGGGAATAAAGAAATGATCCCAGGTGCGGTGGTGCAGACCTTTAATCCCAGCAGAGGGAAGGCTGAGGCAGAAGGACTGTAAGCTCAAGGGCAGCCTGGGCTACCTAGTGAGTCTCGGTCTCAGCAGAAAGCAAACCAAAACAAAACCCACCCTATTTTGAGACTTGCAACATTCCTGTCTGCTCAATTCCTGTTTGCTGCAGACTCCTCTGCAGGCAGCGCTGTGGCTGCTGAGGTGTTTATGGGACGCTGGGCACGCAGGCGCCTTATCACCCAGGCGGTGTCTGGCTGCCCATCACGCAGAGCCGTGACTCGGCGCTTGCACGCCTCTGCGGGCCAGCGTTCTGGATCTGCTGCTGCATTTGGAAATGGTCGTTTCTTCCACCTAACAATTCTTCATGTTTCATTTAAAGATAAAGGCGAGAAAGAAATCAAGAAGCTCTTTTGCCCGTACGTGACAAGTTATTCAATGACAGCACATGAACCTTTTGACAGTCTGAGTCTAATAAATAAGACGAAAACGAAACAAAATTAAAGGACGTTTCTAGGACAAGCATTTGGTTCTAGATCCCCAAACCGCAGAGTGTATATCTTTTGATGTTAGGGAACCATCGTTGCTTTTGGGAGAGTGATGTTTCAAAAGGAGAGAGAATCCTTGTCTTTTAGGGACTTAGACTGAACTAAAAATATTTGCAGCTGGAGAGATGGGGAATGACATTTCCTTCAAGATAATCTAGGTTGCTGGGGATGGGGGAAATGGTGAGTATGAATAAAGCCAGATTGTCCATGACCTGATTGGTGTTGAGATTTAAGATACAGGTGCATCAGGATGCATTTTATTTTATTTTAGTCTTTTGAGACAAGGTCTCACTAGGTAGTTCAGCCTGGCCTCAGTCTCAAAGCAATCCTCCTGTCTCAGCCTCCTGAGTACTGGGATTATAGGTATGTGCCACCACACCTGGCTGGATGCATTGTAATTTTAAAAAATCTTTGGAATTTCTTAAAATAAAAACATTGTCAGCTGGGTGTTGTGGCACACTCCTGTAATCCCAGTACTCAGGAGCCTGAGGCAAGAGGATCACTGCAAGTTTGAGGCCTGCCTGGGCTCTGTAGTGAGTTCAAGGCCAGCCTGTACCACACGGTGAGAGTTTGTGTCAACAGAGACAAACACAAACAAACCAAAACGTATAATATGGCTTCTTTAATAAGGACAGGATTTTTTTTTTTTTTTTTGGGTCTTTTTGAGACAGAGTCTCACTATGCAGTTCAGGCTGGCCTTGAGCTCACTTTGTAGCCCAGGCTGGTCTTGAACTCACAAGGATCCTCCTGCCTCAGCCTCCTGCGTGCTGGGATTATAGGCGTGTGCCACCATGCCCAGTGGTACTGGAGATTGAACTCACAGCTTTGTTCATGCTAGGCAAGCACTCTACCTCTGAGCCACATCCCCAGCCCCCTTAGGGCTCTCTGTACACCTTTTAAAACAGCAAGAAGGTGCAGGACCTAGTGACTGCATGCCTGTATTCCCAGTACTCAGGAGGCTGAGGCAAGGAGGACTGCTGCAAGTTCAAGGCCAGCCTGGGCTACACAGCAAGACCCTGTGTCAAAACAAACAAAAAATTGAAACAGTTTATAAGAGATTGGGTGTGATGGACCCCTGCTTTCTACTGTTTACTTACTCCTAGTTACTATGTTTGTACATCGTGTCTGAGTCCTCAGCATTTTCAGGGAACAAGTGACCACGCACAAACACACAATTCTTTTTTATATCATATCATATAAATGCAGATTTATACCATATCATATAAATGCAGATTATCGTAGGGCCAAGATATTCCACAGAACAATATTAGTATTGTTTTATAGTTTAGAGAATAAGAACAATTTACTTCAAAGATTGGCTAGGTAGTGAGAAGGGTTCTCACAGAACACGAGACAACTTTATTTATATAAGCAGTGTGGCCCTGTGTGGAGGATACAAAAGAAATAAAAGACGGCTTTGAACTACTAAGATGTCTGCAATCTTTTGGAGAAACATGAAACATTGTAAAGCTGTATAGCAATATAAAGTGTGAAACTTATTATAACCAAGTGTTTCTTCTACACTGCTCTTAAACAATAATAACCCCATCCAGGGGCACACATGCACACACATCTGGTAAAAACAGCTTTCAGCCAGGCATAGTGGCACACGCCTATAATCCCAGCACTTGGGAGGCTGAGGCAGGAGGATCACTGTGAGTTCAAGACTAGCCTGGGCTACCGAGTGAGCTCGAGGCCAGCCTGAACTGCATAGCGAGACTCTGTCTCAAAAAGACAAAAACCAACCAACCAAGCAAAAAACAGCTTTCAAAGTCATTTTTATTTTCTATTTTAGAAATAAAATCAATGCTATATTATAGTATGATATATGGTGGACTGTCTGCTTTCAGTCATAGGTTCTCAGAATCTTCTACATTTCAGTTTAATAATGAAATCATCCCTACATCCGTATAGTTTTTTAAATTTTTTTTTATCTTTTTGTCTTTTTGAGACAGGGTTTCACTATGCAGTTCAAGTTTTGGCTGGCCTTGAACTCACTTTGCAGCCCAGGCTGATCTCGAACTCGCAATGATCCTCTGCCTCAGCCTCCTGAGTGCTGGGATTACAGGTGTGCACCACTATGCCCAACTCCATACATTTTATACAGGTGACTTTTTTCAGGGTAAGTCTTTGTAGAGCTAGTCATTAAAAGGAAAAGATTGTGCTTCCTTATTGAACAGAGTTTGGTAATTGTAATCAATAGTCCCAGCTAAGTGTGGTGGCACATGCCTGTAACCCCAGTACTGTGAGAAGCTGAGGCAGGATTCAAGTTTTAACCGATTCTGGGCAATTTAGCAATTTAATGAGACCTTGTTTCAAAAAGAAAAACTTAAGAGCTGCAGATGAAGACCTTGGGTTCAATTCCCAGTATGGATAGATGGGGAAAAAAATACATACATGTATACATATATATGTAAAATATATATGTGTAAATTATATATGTAAAATATGTAAAAATATATATAAAGTATATATATATCTTATATATGTAAGATATATATCTT